TAAATATTTGACAAAAATATTAGTTATTATCAGAATATTCTCGTATTAAGTGTTAAATAACTGACTTCTAGACTAATTGCTATACACTTGACGTCCAATTGGTTTTGTTTGATGCGACGGATGGCGTGTTTTATTGTGGTCCCGCTACCGATGCCCACAATATGTCCATTCTGCAGTAATATCAATATAATTTTGATTGATACAGGTCATTTCAATGCATAGATAATAAGCACAAACCTTAACGTGATTGTCGACCGCCTTATAAGCAGCCACTCGTTTAGCCAAGTCTTCAGTCATGACTTGATTTTGAAGTAAATTTAATAATTATTTATAAAAAGTTTCGCTTTTAATACTACTTTTCAAATGTTGTTAAAAACACATGTTCTGATTATCAAATATAATTATGACATGCTCTGTGCATGATAAGTATTAAGGTCGCATTCAAGGTCTAATTTATTTTGATAACTAATAGTATGAATACAAAAATACGTGTCATTCATTAATTTGCTAAATAATTAAGTTTATAAAGTAATTTTTGATAAGGTAATAAATTTTTTAAAATTAAAAATATTTTTGGGCTAAACTAAAAAATAGAAAAGCAAATACAGTATATAACATATACTATATGTAAAATCAATAAAAATTAGACAATAAATTACTTTTACAATTCATTACTTTTAATAGCTATGATTTGACATTATATATTAGAAAATGAAAGTATAATTCATTTACAAATGAGTTTTTTGCGAAAGTTTATGAATTGTAAACAACAAAATCAAAAACAAGAGGATAGTTAAGCCAAAGTACCCGAACTCTAAGTATAGGAATACTTGCGGCTGTTTTTCAATGAGATTCCCGATTATGAAGGGAGTTATAAACCCGTAGAGTCCGGACGACACACAAAATATAGATGTAATCCTATTGTCCAGTTTTATGCACTCCTCGCCTAACATCCATAAGGCTGTCCACATCGCCGAGAAGCCAAACCCTGTTTTTAATTTAGACAAAATGTAGAGATCTAGCAATTTTATAAATAACGTGTTTTGATTTATTAAATTTTTTTACCTATCATAATATCCCCGATCCATATGCATGTCATGGAGTCTCTGCCAAAATATAATACACACAACGATATGCCGATTATACACAAGTGATAGCTCAACATAACACGTGGTCTCAGTTTACTGGACACGTACGCCGAAAAGAGTCGGCCCGCTGTGAATGTGGCGGTCATTACAGTCTGAAGGTCT